AAGATGAGGGTTCTGGAAAAAGCAAGTCAACAGAATGAGTATCAGCCTGAAAATAACCAAACATGCCAAAAGCTTGCTTGCAAGGAAACTGAACCTAAAGCCACCTCATGTGCCTACGTAAACAGAAGTAAACTGACCCAAATAGCAAGCAAACAGAAAAATTAGTACTTCCTTGCATGTACATCAGGCATTTCAACAGGAGATCAACTTTCTGGCCATGTCATTCCATCTGACTTACCTTACAAGGACACTCATTAACACCACACAAAACACTGGGTATACCATAACACATATTGCTAGGTAATAGCAGAAGAACAATAGTTAAGGGACAAGATAACTTAATGATAAAGAAGAAAAAGATCATCTATGTTTTATCAGCATAATTTTATGTATGACAAAAATAGCATGCAAATTGGTTTATAATATATGCATTTATGATTTATGAAAAAAAAGTTCCTCAGGAAGGTTTTAATAACACCAAGATCTATCAACCACACTATCACTGCCTGTTTAATTGAGCATTTAACAGTAAAGTCACCAGACGCCCAAGGGAGGCAAGGTCCGAGCACCCACCTATTGAGCTGGGCGGGCAACCTCAATCAAGCACAGCCCAGGCACTCGCTTGGGCCCAAGTGTTGGCTGGGTCGAGCGCCCGCTTAGTTTAACTCAGGCTAAGTTGAGCCTGAGACAAACCAAAATAGTACCATATGGTTCGATTGAACCAGTTATCCGATGCTCCAACACCTGCGCGAGACGTGCCCTAACGCAAAAATCTCTCTTTTCCATTGCGTTTTTGCACGGTGGAGTTCCTCCCATAGGTGAACGACATCAGCAGCGACATATTCCTCCAGCAACATCAGTGACATCTTCCTCCAATGACATCGTCTTCCTATGATGGAAGTGATAGCATCTTCTTCCCTTCCCTCCTGGTATATCGCTCTCTTTCTCCTCCCTCCTACCTCTACCCCGTGCACCGCTGCCTTCTTTGCTGTTTGTCACAGTTTATGGTTGTGTTTCAATTTTAAATCAATTAAAGTCGATTGTTTTTATCTAAGTTTGTGAGAACAGCTACCTTCCTTGTTGTTTGTCTAAGTTTGTGAGAACAACAGCTGCACGTAGTGAACATCAGCTGCCTTCTTTGCTATTTGATATGTTATTTTAGTTTTAGTTTATTTTATTAATCATGATATATAATTTTTAAATTATAATATTCGGGAGCGTCTCGCTTCGCTTGGATGATCGTCTAGTGCCTCAGGCATTTTGGAACCATGACGCCTAGTGCTTTTAACTACACTAGCATTTAAACACTTACAAGATAATACAGTCCCAACTCATAAAAGATCTTGTGCAACGGCACAAACAGCTGTTCCATCATGCTACCCTCCACTATGTACAAAACAACATCTTGTATGGTAGAGTATAAGGGTGAAATTTAACTAGGTGTCCATCAGATATTGTTATATTCTAATCCAATTTTATTGAATAGACATGGGACATGGATATTAGATAGAAAGACTATAACTAGATAGATAGACTCATATGTCATTTGACCAACAAAAGTAACCCACAACTAGTTAAACTCGATTGAGTTAGAACTCAACATTCTTAAACAGGGCAGGCGACCTCCAGTAATTTAAATGGAAAGAATTAACTTCTGTGCAGCACTGCAGCTATATGAGATCTCAACTCAGACTTCCACAGACTGAGAGCAACTGGACAATGATAATGCTCTACCAGTGATCCAACAAATTTTACATGCTTTGTTCAAATTCACATAAAATGGGGACACATCTATTAACAAGCCATGCATCAAGCATATAAGAAAGCAATTAAACTAGAGTTCGTTATATTCAACTCAATCCTTTAGTCTCTTTAGAACTTATAATCCTTTTGCGGGTACTCAGAGGAGTCCCTCAATTGGAGGTGCCCAGGTCATGTGTTACCCCTATTGAAAGTTAAGACATGTCCAAAGGATGTGGTGCACCCACATTAGCAAAAAAAAATTCAACCATACGAGGTGAATGTGGGAGAGGTCAAAGTAATTGAATGAATGCAACTAAATCACACTTGTTAATCAAAACCTAAATAAGTAACATTCTTTCCCTCCAAGTGACACTAATCATCCCACAATAGAGTTTCTGCAACTGAACTTGTGCAGACAAAAACATCAAGATTCTTGTCTTTCTAGAGAACTAAAGAACCTACTATGAAGATATTCTAACACATTTAGCAAGTATGAATTAGCATGTTGGGGAAGAAAGATTTTATGAGCTTCGAGTTCACCTTAGAAGCCCCATAGAAAAGGAAGGGGCCTCAACCTTATATAGGGCTAGCTGTCTAGCGATTTCATTCTGAGCTCAACAGGTTTTTACCACTAAGAAATCATATGCAGTCCAGTAGAACAAAGAAATCATGTGAAGTACTATAGTCGAACAATGTTGCGTTTCTTTCCGTGTATACCATGGGACGAGGGGGAGGAGATAAAACAGAGACAGAGGTTTTATTTTATGAAGCCCATGTAATAGAATAGATGACGAAATCTATCAACGAACAAGGAATTGAAGGCACTAAACCCCACCTGAGAATGCTGCGAGATAAGCTTCGCCCATGCAGCCTTCTGCGTCGCTTTCACGACGCGTTTCGTCGGGATCTCCAACGAGATAAGCCCCCGTTTCCTGCTGTCCATCTTAGCGGGCCGCTCTATAGTAGCAAAAACGAAGAAGAATAAGAATAAGAAAGGGGAAAAGAATTTAAACAAAAAATAATCGTAGAAAACAAAACAAACAAAACCGATAACAAAAGAAAGACGAAGATCGGACCTTGAGGCGGTAAGTGGGCGGCGGCATCCCCAGGTTCCTCGCCCTGCGTCTCCGCCGCCGCAGTACCGGCGGCCTCCACCGGGGGGTCAACGGCGGGCAGATCGGAGCGGAGATGCCGTCCATCGGACGTCGGCGCCGGTTCCTCCTTGTTGTCGGGCCGCTGCCCCTTGGGCGACGAGGTCGTCGGTTCCTCCTGAGAAATCCCGGCAAACCCCACCCGGAGATCGAGCCAAAGCCCCACATCAGACAGATGAAACCGGTCCAGAATCCAAGAATCGAGCGCAGGGAGGGAGGAGAGGGGAAGAATCGCACCTTGGGGCGCTTCGAGGCCGGCGGGGACGCGGGGGAAGGGGAAGACAGGGCACGCTTGGATGAGGCCGAGCTCCGCCTCGTCTCCACCATGGCTTCGCCCTCGATCTCTTCGCCCCCTTTCTTGAGGAATCGAATCGAAACAGATCAACCACAAAAGAGAGAGAGAGAGAGAGGGAGAGGAGGAGGAGAAGAAGAGAAAAGGAGAGGAAAGGAAAGGAAAGGAAATGGTCGCCAAATAGCCGCGGTGGGCTTTGTAATTATTCCATAAAAAGATATGTTAGAAATTAATTGTAGGGTTTCACTTGTCCTCTTCGAGACCGACTTCGAATAGATTTATATCGTGTTATTACGATATCTATTTGATCTTTTTTTTTTATTTTTTTTATATGACGTGTATATTATATTTGGAATCGCCATAAATTCATTTATTTTTTTGGAAAACAAATGAATTTTTCTATAATATTTTATCTTATCAAATCTACCAACTTTGGCTCTTGCAATCAATCTCCATAAACACTCTAATCGATAACGATCTTTCATCAGCTACCGTTATAGTATGATTGCTAAGTATATTCAGGTATTTGTGTCTTATAATTCGAACGAATTATGGCTGATCAAAATTGTCTGTGATTAATATGAATTTTATGAGACCAAATGATATATATATTATATATATGTGTGTGTAATAAATTTCATCTTTTCGTATCACAAATTTCAAATCAAACGGCATTGGAAAATTGTTATTAAATTTCAATATTTTGGTTGTAATCGGATAATAAATTTTGACCACATTAATCATTGCGATAGTCGATCGTCATCACATCAAGATGATGCCATCGACTCATAGAGCGTTATCTTTTTGCCCCCATCATGAGGGATGGTAATATAAGGTCAAGAATGTTAAGTAGGAGCCCATTTGAGGACTCCGACGCCATTGACTCATAGAGCGTTATAAACGTGCCATATCTTCGTATTTGAGCACGTGGGGTTGACCTGATGGAAACGTAACCTATCGCGAATTCTGTTCAGACTCTATTGTTACCTAAGAAAGAGCTATTCATGAATGAATTATGGGAAAGAAAATGACATGCGTACATATATTTTACGCATGCTCGAGGTTGGCAATGTCGGTTATGCAAAGAGTCGAAAGGTTATTATTTCTCAGAAAAATTATATAAAATTGTGACAGATGGGTTTGAACATACAGATAATGGATGGAAAATATTCCACAATAATTAACTTTGGAGAGGATACACATTAGATGAGCAGAAAAAAAGAAATTAATTTATAATATATATATTAGATGAGTTTACACTTGTTAATCTGATCTAAACATTTTGGAAATATAGTTCAGACCTATCTATGATAATATCAGAGCAAGTTCGATTTAGCACAGTTTAGTTCAATATTACATAATTCAGAACCATTCAACCTCTATGACTGTAACATATTATGCAACTCAAAGATCAGTCATGCGATGGGACCAGGCAGATATGTAACATATTATACAACTCAACCAAGAACTGTTACAAATGATTAAAATTACTATGTTGTTGTTTCATAACTGATGTATGCTACTAGAAGAGGAAACATAACCTGTGTACCACAAGATCCATCCATCAAACATCAGTTTTCGTCTAATCTTCTTGTCACTTGTTCCTGATACAAGCAAAAATCAAATCAAACCCCAAATTGCAATCTTTCCTCCTTCCTTTGTCTCCACCTATCCAGCATGGGCAAGTCAAAACACATGCTGGAATTACCTGCTTGATGGGCAAGTTCAGCTCTGAAGAAATTTTGTGCGTGTCACAACAATGTGACCAGTTCCAAAATGAGGGCAGCTGTATTTAGCAATGAGGTTTTCATTCATGAACAGAATAGCTTCAAGAGTTTTTCGCTTACTTGTGATTTTAAGCTTCAACTCTGACCAAGGAAAGCTAAAGAATTCGGCATATGATCTAAGTTCGTGTTGATATCATTTACTGAAAATTGTAAACGACTTGGGCGCATAAAAAGAGGGAATTTTTGGTTCGCCATGACAGTTCAAAGATTAAAAGCCAAATCAGATGGATTTCCCCAGCAATCATCAACATGGGAGAGCTTCTCCGCAAATCCAGGAGCACGGAGGGAATGAAGATTGACTCACTTTACCCCGTGGAATGAAGGCAAGACGGCAACAAGGGGATCTCCATAGCCAACAGCTTCTGTAAGACAAAAAAGGCTGGTGAGAAACCAAAAAATGAGTGAATATCTTATACGAAAATATGTTTACTACTCTCTATACAAACAAAAAATTAACATTGTTCACATTAATCACATGCGGCCAAACATGATTCTATTTCTTGATCATGATATATACAGCAGGTTCGAAAAACAATATTCTATATGAGCACCACTACTGAGGTGGGCTTGCATACATATAAATCCATCCAAACTACTATTTCCATATTTATAACTTTTGGTTTAGGATTTAAGAAGCATTAAATGTTTGACCCAACAAACATTGTTGACTTAAAGAAGATTAAAACAATCCAGTCAAAGTGGTTTAACCCTTAGCCTTTGATTTGCCATTTGCAAACCAAAAGTGGCACTTGACACAATCAGGAGTTCCTTAAGAGATTTCACTCAAGCTTTTCTCCTATACCCCAAGCATTCCTGGAAAATACAGCACATATTAGCCTAGCCTTCAACAATAGTATAAGGCATCTTGCAATATGAATGGTCCTACATCAGTGTCTCCACTTTGTGTAACACATCCACACTTATGTCATTTTCAACGAGTAAGATTATTTTAATTGACTCTCAATTCCTTACAAGCCCCTTTGTACAAATTCATCTTGAACCTTCATGTTTCTCTCCTACAATTCTTTAATAGATAGCTCAAGTTAATTAGCAAGCAAAGGTGAGTTCAAGTTCAATGGCACGTGAATTGATTTTAGGTAGAACTCATAACAACAATTTCCATAGCTAATATGAATTCAAAGATTCATTCCTTTTTGTTAAAAGTAAGGATTTTAATTCCGAATGATACCGCCTATATCGGGCGATACATACTGGTTTGCTAGCAGATCGGTACGTGGACCGCCCGCTACCGGGCAGTACTGTCGATTGGGGCTGTTTCCGCCTCGTTACCACCCGAAATTAGTCGATGACGGTATATTTCGACCGTCGCTGCCTGTTACCAAGCGGTATTAGCCGAGGGAGAAGAGGGAGAACTTGGAGATCCGATACCACTCTCCCTCGACAATCCTAATCCATCGCCGCCCTCCCTCGCTGGACGCTGCAGATGAGATGTCGCCTCCTCCTCGTCTGAGGCGATGAGGCCTCGGCATCGTCGACGACTTCTCATCCACGCGGGGAGAAGAAGCCTAGGCGAGCTTCACAGGGAGAAGAAACCGAGCAGAAGAAACGAGGCGATGTTTCTTCTCCCCATGTGAGCAAAAGAAATGAGGTGACGTCGCCTCTTTTTTTATTTTTTAACTTTATCGAGCAGTACCGTATCAAGCTAAGCTCAATACTCTGATACGGTACAAAATGTGAACCTTGGTTGAAAGCTTTAGTTAGTTAGTGTTGGAGCATGTGTGGGCACAACACTAGTATTTCTTTTAATTTCAACTGTTGGTGGTAAATAATTATATTCTCTTTTGCATTCTAATTGTAAGGAACTTGCTGCATGTCAAAACCATCACTACTTGCAAAACAATTATATCTACTGCAAGTGGTTGAGGTCCATATTTTTCAATTGTAACGGAAAAGCTATTACATGCTTTGGTTGCAACCAATGACCATGGGCTTAAGCATGATCATGGAGCTCAAGGAAAATCCACATCTTACACAAAACCACAGGGTTACAGTTAACCATCTTTGGCAAACGCTAGACGTCGATACCTAGCTTCTAGTAAGCATGACCCATGTACCACGTTATCCAAAACAGGAAGATGCATACCATATGCACGAACATGATAGACTAGAGAGCGATGGAAGAAAGAAGAAAGGAGAGAAATGGGTTCAGGAGAGTAAAATGATGTTGGTTTCCCTCCCATTGTTGCTTCAAGAGCAGTAAGAGAAGAGAAATTTGATATATACACAAAAACCATTGTAACCAAGTTCAGATATATAAGAAAAGGAGAACTATTGAGGCATATTTGATTGACTATTGCACAGAGAATAACAAAATCTGCAACCAATGGAAGAGGAGCAGTTCTTTGGATCAATGAGTTCCTCGGCTATTCAAGTCAATTTATTACCGAAGCTGTGAAAGGAAGTTTCAAATATAGAAGAAGAAACAATGCATGAACTAATTAACAATAAATATCAATCACTTTGGTGAGTAAGGAAGTTGGTGGTGTCTGGCTCCATGAAGGCCAGAAAAGCTGCTGGTTGATTTGTAAGGTGGAAGTGAAGCAGTCGGAAGATAAAGAGGGTGGTTGTAATTTATATTCATATTGAGAATATGAGCTCTCATGGGCTTTCCCATTTTAATCTTAGCAGATACAAACAACTTGGATACAGCAGGCACAATCATATTCCAAAAGATAAGATGTACTATAAATGCAATAATTAAATATGGACTTCGACATTACCTCCATTCTCACAGAGGATCTTTATTACTTCTCCAGCTACATCTGACTGCACAAAAAGACAAGTGTCATTTAGTCTTGTGAAGTTGTTTGAATACATTAGTCTCTTAAGCATGGTTCGTCATATCGCGGCATACTTCCCATACTAGGCAATACATACCGGTCCGACAAGAGATCAGTATGAGTGGTACATATCGGCTTGTCAATATGTCCCATCGTTTCGTGTGTTGGTACATTGGTATGGTTCGATACGTACCCCATATCGACGACCGGTTGGTAAACCGGTATGGACTGGGACGGTGAACCATGCTTTTAAATAGTATCATACTGATGCCATTATTTATGGAGAGCAATTCAACTAAAAGTATAACAGACAGGGAATTAAAGAAAACTCACTCTAATGGGAAGTTCATTTCCAAATTGATCCAAGAAGCCAATAATTTGCCCTTCTTTGATGATGTCACCCTATCATTTATGAATCACAAGATCATTAAATACAAGCAATTCTTCAGAAATAAATTCAAGCATATGTTTGTATAAAATTACAAGTCATCAAATATCCTTATCACAAAACCTCTTTACAGATAGGAGGCTGTCTTTCCCCTTTCAACGATCTTCCACTTTGAAATGAACCAACCTAAAGGGGGTACAGCAAACATTTAAAAAAAAAATCAGAGTATTACTACATAAAGTGGAAAAAGACTATCCCATTTAAGTCATGCACACCGTAGATGATGATACTAGAGCATATGCATTCAGTCCAGAAGCTTCTAAAGCTGCCAACTTTGATGTCTTTGCCGCAGAAACATAGGTAAATGGACTGGAAGCAGTTGCAGGAGACTTCTGCTCCAGAACAGGAGGGGAAGAAGGAACTGCTTCCACCATTGGCTTGCTTGGAATTGGTGGTGCTGTAATTGGTGACTCAATAGGAGCTGAAACTGAATTTGGGGCATTTGAGATTCCTACATCTCTTTTCAGGAACATTTCGAAATCACCAACCTGAAGAAAATTCCATAGCAATAATAAAGGATCCCAAGCTAATGGCTAACTGAGTGTTATCTTTAGTTCCAACTTCCAATTCAGATTATTATACTTGGATGTCAAAATCATGGGTGGATAGGACATAAAAAAACCATTTCCTCAGAGGTTTAGCTGTTGGGATGTATAAGTGATCTTACAAGATACAGTGAGAAATAATTGACTTTGATGAAGCACCAATTGAGAAAGATTAAAAATTTTTAGGTAGGCGCATGTCCAAGGAGAACCATCAAATGCAACACCGAGAAGAAGCAACTCATATCAAACTAAAAAAGTTGTTGGAGGGAGAGAGAGACACACACACAAACAAGGAAACTACTGTCTTAGTAATGGCTAACGGTAAGGCAACTGAGAACTGTCACAATAGAATCTACACAGAGGATGCAAATAAGAGCAACAGGGCTTCTAACTTGTCGTTTAAACTTTAAACCCAAGTTTCAGAAGAGAAAAAAAAAAGGTTGACCATTCTCAACCCCTGAAATTATAACGAAATATAGGGACCATTATAAAAAGTTACTATTTCTCATAGCCATCATCGATGTCTGGCATTACATGCTTGATCAATCACAGGTTCATCACAAGAAATATACTGTTAGCAACACAGCAAGTGTGTAGAACCTAGAAACTCGCAGCTAATTCAGGCGAGTTGAAAATTTAAAAAAAAAAAAGATCATAAGTGCAGGGTCAGCCATACAAACTACCATTTTAAACACAACCTAGAGGAGCATGAATTACACGTACAGTAAGTCTAAATATCTAATGCAATTTGCTTAGGAAAAACAAATATGAGTGAGAAAGAAGAACAACTTCGAATTTTCCTCAATTTCTACTGGAAAACAAAACATTCAACATTAGTGATTATCACTATGAAGAAGAAGGTACCTATGTCTTTTCACATATATCCAAGCAAGCTATGTACATTAGGATGCTGTACACAAAAATTGCTGGGTCTTTGAATTTGCTTTACTCTTAAAAATTTGTGATTATCAAGATTCATGGGACTGTTTTTCACATATAGCCCCAAGCCCCTAATACGGAAGTATGTATATTAAAAGTTATAGTATTGACTTCTCAATCTAAGAGGAATCGGAAAATGATGTTAGAAATGTAGCATGTCTAGAAGCATGTAACAACATCAGTAAGGCTCTAAAAGAGTAAAAATATCAGGTGCAATATCTTCCAGTAACCAAATTAGATTATAGCTCAAAGATGTTTGTCCCATAGTGCTGATCATTAATCAGGATTTATTATGAAGTGCTAAAGTCAGCGTTATGTTAGATTGATTAGATGCCAAACATACCTTCATTTTGAGCTCTGCGATATCTGTTAGGTCACAGACCTCCTCGATCAATGTCTGTAATGCAATGAGCAATTCAGGTGATATTCAGAACGTATTAATAAGGAGAGCAAAATTTTATATTATTCTACCAGTATACTCAAACAATTTGCCAATCCAGTCATGAATTTAAAGCACCCCCTAAAAATAAGAATGGGCCTAGAATGGACTGGCTAGGACCAAAGTAGTGGTGCCAGCATTTATAATGAGCTCAAAATGCAGAGAATTCAAATCGAAAATTTTGCTGTGAAGTCTCCTTTTTTGCATTGAAACAACATTCTCGCGAGAAAACCCAGGTCAAAGAAACAACACAATATCTCATAATAGAAAACCAATATTGAAAGTCAACTGTAGAAAAAAAGAGAAAAAAAGTAATGATCTGTATGAATAATGTGTTAGGCCACCAAATCGTAGAAAGAAAAAAAAAGGACATCATCAAATATATTCTTTCTTGATCTATTTTAAAGACATTCATGGAGCACCTCGATCTAGAAGCATGAGAAGAATGTCTGATGGCTTCATTCAGGTTAGTCCCATCTCCCATTGGACATAAGAGACTTAAAAGTTCAATGGCTAAATAAGTTCTCTAAATGTTCTTTTATGTTAGATTTTTTCTCCATATCCAGACCATAGGCTAAAGGAACAGTAAGAGAAGTATTAGAACATAAGTAGTTCACCACAGTGGATGACAAGGTTCAGAACTGTACAAACATCCTTACAAGAATGCACATGTCACCCTTGTCATATGTAGTTACATAGTTATTAATAACTGGTCATCAAGAAGATTCTATTGTTTGGGGATTCATTCTGTTGTTTGGTTTGAGAAGTTCTATGGAAGTGAAGCAAGCAAAATCTTAAGAGTTAAAAGGGCATTAATGAATCTCAATGCCACTGATATGATATAGCTCAATTATCAATAGCATGGAATCCTCAATTGAAACTGACATGATAAAATATGGTCATAGATGCACAAGGAAAAAAGTTGGGCACTAGTGTTAGGACTCTAGCTAGGATAGTCCTAATTGAGTTTCATTGATCGGGACAATCATGTAAAACCTACCTAGCCGACCCCTATTAAAGATCATGAAGAGGCCAACTAAGGATAGGATTAGTTTGGAGTTTGCTTCTTAGAGAAGCATTAGAAGTTGGTTAGAAGTAGGAGTCTTGAGTATGAGTCATAATTGAGTAGGAGTCCTATTAGGAGTTGAGGTTTAGAAGATCTATAAATAGCCATGTATTCATCCTCTTTTAATAAGCAAGAGATGAAACTTTTTAGCAGCCTTTGAGAAGTAACTTGGAAGAAGAAACCCCTATAGAGTTTCAAGGAGACCGATCCCCTAAAGAGATCAACCTCAAGCTTAGAATTCGCAAGGGTTCTACCAACTAGCTTTAATGTTCTTTTATATAACCAATAAAAGATATTCATGAAAAGAGTAGAGGGATGGAGACCTTATCATAGAAGGGTTGACAATGACAAAATAGGAGAGAGAGAAAGAAAGCTAGCCATGTTCCATGCCCATATTTCTTCCCAAGCTAATGGGAAGGAATGTGCTAGAGTTGGCCACCCTACGATCTCTCTCTTCTTGAAGTATAGGTAAAAAAGAGGGTAAACCAAAGCTTCCACAAATGCAAGATATATAATCTTACCTCTACAAATAGAAATCTTGTTTCTTAGCCCAAACCTCGATCATCCAGGTCATAAAGGAGTAATCCGGCAGGCCATCCATTGTCTTCTTGAAGTATAGGTGTTTGACACACAATTACAGATTAGTCAAATGCAATTGGAATATTAATTACAGTTTAGTAATAGGATAAGACATCCAGTAAGAAGTCATTGAGGCCATATTGTCTTATTTTGTACATATGACAGGTGAATAGCTGCAAAGGGATCTAGATGTGCCAGATCATTGTTTCACCCCACTATTTCTAATTGAAAAATACTAGACATTGACAAGAAACTGCAACAAGGCAATTAGACCAGATAGCTTCAGTTATTTATCCAAACATGGTGGCAATTTTATCATGGATTTTATCTAATGATATATTTTATTGATGGATAAAATGCCTCCTGGTATTGATGAGAGGAATCAATATTTCCACCATCTCTAATTGCCCAGAGGTGAGTGCTTGATACAGAAAATTGACCCTCTAACAATATTAAAAGAAAAACATGGTGTGATTCAATTAATTGATGCATTGACTGTTGAAATTTAACTTCTTCAAAGCATTGCAAGACCTTTAGTAGCAGTATGAACCAGAAAGGATGGAGTTTAATTCGACTTAGTAATTAATCTGTTATTAATTCGACTTCATATTTGAAAATTTATATGCATTGGATAATATTCGATGCTCTAATCAGGATAAAGTTTTGATCCGTTGAAAAAAAAAAAACACAAATACATTGATAATAGCCTAAGCAACCACAGATAGGAACTGAGAAGTTATTGCAAACCCATAAGGCCATAAATCAATCAACAAGGGGATAAGCATATTGATCAATGTTTAAGATAGAGTTACATTTGATGCACACACAGCATTATTAAGTTAAAGGTGCAGCAAGAGCACCGCCTGCTTTCAATTACCTAAACAGAGAAGCATAAAGAATTCAGAAGCAAAAAATGCATCATGTATAGACATGAAAGCTCTCCAAGTATCTAAAAACAGCCAGAGAAATTTTTGACCTGACATCCATTTGGAAAAGTTGAGGTGATTGAATTCTTCTGATCGGTGTCAGCTGCATTTAGAGGGACAAAAATTGCTATCAAGATTATGTGTCTGAATGGCATATTGCTTAGGATGTCAATCAACAAGCTATAGAATATACATTAATAGGTTATCAAAAAGAAGAACAGACGGCCAGCTTGCCAACCACTTTAATTGGATATGACAAAAGAATCTCATAAATTTTGTATGAAAACTTCAAATAGTCCCCCATTCCCATAAGGATTAACTCTTTCCCAAATTGACTCAATGGAGGCATTCAATTATGACCATGACTTTTATGTATTAGAAGTTTTTTCTCTAGTCATGTTTGTGTAACATTATGATTATTAAAATATCAATCCTGCAGAACTTAATAAAAAGTAATGTTTTAACATGTTACTAGCAAACAGTGAGAAGTATCAAAGTTTTTTTTTTAATTTGTAAAATAGTATGTAATTGAACATGACTTACCATTCGTAGTCAAAGCTGATGTATTCTGTGAGGCCTTTACATGTAATGAATGTTTTGGGAGAACCATTGAGGAAATAGATCTCTGGCATTCTTCTGGAACCCTCTGTAATAAATATTTTGAAACAGTACTGGAAACAAGGATGGGAACAGGCTTCTCAACTGAAGAGTGTCCATGGAAAATTGTCCTAGGGGCACCTAACAAGAAACAGTAATGCAAATGTTTACTATAAATGTTGTTTTTATTCATAAATAAACTGGAAAAAATTGCCACAGAACAAAATAAAGTGGACACAAAGAACACTTCAGTAGACAAAGTAACCAGAAAGTGTACCTCCTAGCAAATTGAAGTGAAATTCTTGCACACAAGATATTCTCTCTCTCTCTCTCTCTCTCTCTACATCTTCACAATGTCAAATGACATCTAATAGGGGCAAAGCAAGTCGATTGCACATGAGAAGGCCCAAATCCATAAGACAACTTCATCCACAAGTCTCATACATAGTTGACAACTCTATTTTATATAGTTAATTAGATTCTAAAAGTTCCAAAGCTTCGGTAGTCTGAAAATATGAATTTGTCTAATATTCCCTATTTTGAATCAAGAATGCAAACTAGTGTTAAGCTCTGACAAAGTCAGATATGGGTAAGAGACTTGCTATTGATGAAACTTGACAGAAGAGCAAGTGACGATTCCCTTAAAATAGTCCAGATGAACAAATGTGAGAAAAATATAGGAAAATGTATTCGTCGTGGAATAACACAAGATGTAAACCAGAGAGCCTAGTCATAAAGCAATTCCTACTCCTCTTTCCCTTGAATGCATATTATTTCCACGTTCCACTACATCAGTCGGGAAGTTGTATTCAGTCATAACGCGGATTAATTGTTAGCCATGAATCTCCTAAAAAAAGTTTTTTTTTTTGAACAGTTGGCCGTGGGATGCATCAGATTTAACTTCAAACTTGTTGTCCCAAACTGGTCCATATTATTATCTCCATGCCTCGATAGTTAATCACCCAATTACAATTAAGCACCATTTTTCTTTTCCTCTTCTTTTTTCGTCTGTGTTTCTTTGAATCGGACTTCTAACTTTTTTCTTGATGCGAGTTTATCAACCACGAAACCATTAAGCACGTGGCGTCGAAACAAAGTTACTGCTCCACCTTCAGAATCCACACATGGAGGAGCTTCGCTTCCTTCAAAGACAAACCCTCGTTGTTTGTGGCAATCACCACCCAATGAAAAAAGGCTCAAATATCCAAAGAGAAAATGAGCAGAAGTCACACAACTTTCGCTACCAGAACTGCAGATGGATCAAACAAGCCTTCAAGAACGGAAGCACGAGAACACGGCGTCGGAAGATCCACAATAGCAAGGAGTAAGGGAAAAAGGGAGTGAGGTCGAAAGATTACCGAGGAACGATGGAAGAGCCATGGCAGATTCCTCGGAGAAAAGGCGGATCTGGGAAGACCAAGAGAAAAATAGAGATCAACGGCAACGAGGACAATGTGAGTCTTATAGAGAGAGAGAGAGAGAGAGAGAGAGAACAGCCAGGCGGATCTCGACATGTCCGCCCTCGCTCTTGTAGGTTTCTCCGCTGCCGCGGTGGGGTGAAACGAAACTGCGAAACGCAGAGGGAAACTATGCGGAGAATCTCTCTTTCAGCGCTGCTGTGAGATCCGACTTAAATTACAAGTGGGCTAATTACATGTTATCGTAAAATCTCGATCCTACGCTTAAAAATAATATATTAATATTTTTTATAATTATATGAAAGTAAAACTTTTATTTACTCTAATATCATCGATTTTATCAATAAAAATATAAAAAATAAAAAAAATAATATTTTTAGTTGATGATGACAAATGATATCGATTATAGCAAGCAACATTGACGGTGGTGGACGATGACACCGTTGTTGAGGGTCCTAAATGATTATTGTAGATAAAGAAAACGATGATAAAAATAAAGATCGTTTAGTATCTACGTCAATACCGGCACAGCTACAAGTAGTAAAAGGATCATTCAACATTTACATAAGCATCGATGCAAATATAAAACGATAAATGATCGCTCGATAATTATGTTGACATCGACCTAGATATAAAGCAGCTCTCATATCTCGTTATCACTCACCTTATCCATAACAGTCATCTGCGATCCTCAATGATATCGCACGTCCATGATCACCAACCGGAACATTAAAAAAAATTATAAATAAATCTAAATATTTTACTTTTGTAATTATAGAAATATCAATACGTTAAAAAAGATTCATATTATAACAATGCATTTCTACTAAACTTTTGCTCGTTGACTTCTTCAGAACTCTTCTGTTGTACTGACAGAAAGTGTCACTTACCATATATATATTTTTTCTCTTTGGGTTTGCATTCATTCTTGCGATAAAACGTAATATCGTCACAAAATTTAACACAGCGTATATCCTTTGAAACATTAAGAAACTCTACATACGTCAATATCATTAATATTTATCCAGAAATTTCAGATAGCCAATTTTAATCGTGATTAAATTTTTCTTGAATTTAAAATATGTAAAATATAATGTATTCCTAATTTTTATTAATATAAAGAATTAAAGTTTTATTTTAATTATCAACTTAATATCCAATTAAAATTAATTTCAATTGCACATATGTAATTTTTTTAAAAAAATATTAATTAAGCTGTAAGTTTACAAGGTGGTATGCATGAGATGAGGTCTATTGTCCACTTCATAATAAGTGGTTGCATAACTGTTTCTAGCTTGGTAAGCTAGATCATGAGCATTAATGTTATTCTCTCTTTAGATAGGAGCCCAATGGATAACATTTGAGTTGGGATGCCAGTGTAAGATAATATGATTTTGCTGAGATAGCTTATAGCTTGTAAGGAGCATTTGACTTCCATGTCAATAAGGTATTCTTTTTGTACTCCAAACAGCCCTCTAAAGATATCCATACATTCAGCTTGGATGGGGTTGCTTGCTTTGCTTGGAATACCTCCTGAGGGATTGATGTTGTTGTCTTCATCACCAATAACAAAACCTAAACCAACAATTCCAGAGTTAGCAAAAAAAAAAAAGGCATCAGTTTCCGAGAGCTAAGAGCAATGATGTATTAGTAAGGTAGTGTCAAGAATCACAAATGATTCATAATTCATCTCATCAGGAGATTTAATATAGTCTCTCATCATGACCATAGCTTCACATCGAAGATATTTTGCCTTTATTGCCTCAAAAGAGAATTTTGGTCATGATAATCGATAAACATGAGTTGAAATAAATGTGATATCTAAACAATGGAATCGGTTATTTATAAATCCATAATTGCATTTATGATGTGTAGTATAATTTCTAGCAATTTAGGGATTGACTGCAAGCAACTAAAATACAAAATTAAACCGAGAAGTTGAGCAGGAAGCAGCAAATAGTTAATGGAATAATTTCTGACACGTTAAAGCCACATTATTACATAATCTACATAAAAGTTAAACCGATCTTTTTGTTGAAGCTCACAGTTTTAAAGAAACATATGGTATATCAAAAATTATAAGCGCAAAGCTCACTGTTACTGGTAAATAGCAATTAAAAGCTAAACTATCAAGTCAGGCCATTCTGCAGTATATAACAATAATAGCAAAACCAGCAAGCAGAAAAGAGACCTTTATTGTGTGATTTTACGTTTAACACCATCCAAAGTGTTCTTGATCAACATTGCGACGGTCATCGGTCCAACACCTCCCGGGAATGGTGTTAGCCATCCTGCCACCTTGCTTGCTTCTTCGAAATCAACATCCCCAACAACTCTGTAACCTGATATCCTACTAGGGTCATCTATGGCATTGGTCCCAACATCGATAACAGCAGCACCAGACTTAATCCAGTCTCCCTCGATCTGAAAAAGACATGATAGATCTTTTTACTAGACAGTTTATCTAGCATAACAATTTCTATCGGCCAGCATAAGTTATCAGAGCAATCGTACTTGCTTTAAAGAATCATTCCATGATAATACAAACATACAGTATATGAATTGTACTTTTTGAAATCACAGTTATCGAGCTTACCATCTTGGCTTGTCCAGCTGCGGCGATAACAATGTCAGCTTCTCTAATAATGCTTTTAGAATCATGAGCGTGCGAGTGAATGATGGTCACAGTTGCATCTGCTTTCAGGAGAAGAAGGGCCACTGATAATTCCACCATATTGCTCCGGCCAACAACAACCGCCGTTTTGCCTTTTATGCTTATTCCACTGTGTTAGAAGTTCAAGACATCCCTGCAAAATAAATACATGTGTTAGGTAAGTTGAAGCCCAAATTAGCACCTTTGAGCACTAAAGGAAATCTCACATCCATTAGATAACCTAGATGGTGAATTTTTGTGGTTAAATATACCTTTGGAGTGCATGGCTGAAATAAGGGCTCTCTTCTCTTCATTGCAAGCTTTTCCAAAATTTAGAGGATGAAATCCATCAGCATCTTTCTCAGTACTGATTTAACTCAATACTTTCTCTTCATTTATGTGTTTTGGCAAGGGAAGTTGAACAAGTATCCCTGAGAATTAAGCCAAAATACTCATATTAAACATAACTAGTTCTTAAATGGGAAATTATAAGACTAGAACTTAAATGGATGTCATAAATGAAATAATATGATGTGATAAACTATGACGAAGCTGTACAAGGCAAACCTATATGGTAAGGATTGAATTTAACATGCTAAAGCCCCAACAGAATTTTTGGCTGGCAAAAGTAAAGCATAACTTGACAAACTCATAAAAGGATCTAACTTGAAATGCTCAAGATAGAATAAAACATGAACACATATGTCATACTAAAAATGACCCCAGATTAAGAAGCATTTAATTTATATATGTATGAAACAAAAAACAAGTATAAAGCAATTCTTAAGAGAAACAGAGAGCGATTCAATGTTTATCTGGTGAAGTATCTGAAGAGTTCATGTTGAAGCAATTTGGATAGAAAAACCAAAACAAATTTGTTAGAGTTCACACATCAAAATTATGAGACGTAGTACATGTGAAATGATTCGTTTTTGAAATGCCTTGTGGCAAAATGGTAGACAAGGAATACCACATTCAAGCATGGAGAATTGGAGAATGTTTAGAATGAGAAAGCCTGATAAATTAAAAACTAATGAACATAAATCAAGAATTCCTTGCTTTCCAGTATTAAAAAGGAATAGTAGCACATTTCTGAAAGTTGAATTCCTCACAATTTCCTATCCTTCTGGACAAACATGCCTTGATATATTTCAGATACACAAGCAATATATTTCCAAAAGAAAGTTTCTCTTGTAGAATAAGAGGTAGCAAACCCAAATGAAAATTTTCAAGAAACAGCTCAGATCTTTTTATCCAGTAGCAATTTTGGCTTGTTTAATCAGCAGTTAGCTACAATGACAAAAGGAAGAAGAACCAGAATGACCTTCCACACGTGAAAGTAACTAAAATGCCGTACCAATTCAAATATCAGAAAATAATTTACAGCATTTCCATCATGTTTCCACGGCACCAATTCCTGATCATCAGATATAACCAATAACGTCGAGAATAAGGAGGATCTCGAGGACGAACCATGTACATCTGGGTCGTCGTTCAACTCGTGAACCTTAGCAACCACGTCCACCCCGGAGATCTGCTCGGGGAAGTCGACATCGATCGACCGGATGCCCACCTCGGCGCAGGACTTCCGCTTCATGCTCACGTAGCTCTGCGAGTCCTTCCGCACCCCCACGTTCACCACCGCCAGCCCCGGCACCTGAGATTCTCCAACTAAAGAAACGAACGCAAAAACCCAATCAATCGCCGGGGTAGGTCGATCCAAGAAAGATCGAATCGGAGACTACGCGAGAGGGGTTTCAGATCCGTGCCTTGTTGTAGTTCTGAGAGACGGATCGGACTTCGACGGCGATTTCATTCCGGAAGGATCGAGCGATGGCTTTGCCGTCTATACTCGTCGCCAATGATGATGTATGTGAGGGAGTAACAGATCGAGAGGAGATGGAAGAAAGCCCGATCGGGTGTAGTGATGGGCTGTGGTTCGTCTTGTGGAGTGCCGTCTCCGACCGAATGCCTTTTGGGCCCATCGTTTCCAATGCTGGAATATATATATATATATATATATATATATATATATATATATATAATTTATTTATATTTGCATAGGGAAATATAGAACGAAGGAATGACTTCATTTGAAAGTTAATTGTTGGATGTAAAATACTCATATATCAGAATCAAGCATTCAATGTTCATATCATCACCATGTCGTAATCTTCCTTCCTTCCATGATAATATCTATGCGTTGACGGGGATAAGTTCCCAATGAGATCATACTGCAGTACTCGATTCACCCTTCTCCTTCCCCTACGACTCCAACCAAGACGATCGAGAGCATCGAAGCAACTGCAGTCGACTGGATTCATGTGTGGCTCCATGGCCCCAGAAACATGAGTTTTCTCATAGGATCTTCCGAGTTCACGGAGCTCCGACATGCTCCGGCACCAGCCCTCGAATTCTCGCGTAGCTTCTGCGTCAGACTTCCCACCAAAGCCATGGTTGCTCGCTTGACTTCATGGCCCCAAGAGCTCTCCCCCGGCATCTGCGACGGCTTCATGGCTTGGGTTTCTCGAATAGCTACTGTTCTCCCAGAAGCATCGGTAAAGGGAGGCATATATAGAATCAGATTAAGAATGGCATCTTTGGAGATGAGGATATGCTGTCTTCTCAAGTTGGACGACGGGAAGATTGTGTTTTGATGCGTGTATACTTCATTGTCGTCGCAGGGAATATGATCTCTTCCTGCGACTCTTTTCCACCACTTGGTTTAGACGGAATAATGGTGAAGAAGAAACCTGCTTTGGAACTCGTCGTCTTCGTTCATGACTCCCAACTCGGTAGAATAAAGCGAAGGAAGCTTCTGAATTGAGTGGATCAAACAGTGAGACGTATCACTGAAACTTGATGGGTTCCTCGAAGCCTCCTTGCCATGTCCGGCTGGAATATGCAGGATGCTACTGGATCGAGAGAGTGGATGATGGCAAGTGCTGCTGGTCGTTCAACGATTCTTTGATTCTTTTGTTTGATGGGCAATCGAGCCATTTCATCTAATATTCTTTTTTAATTAAAATATTTTTTTATTATATTAAGGATGTATCAACAAAGACTATAATATTCCAATTTAATTTCATATTAAAAATAAAAAAAATTGAATAAATTTATATAGGTTATATAAGTTTAGTATCATTAACTTAGTCATAAATATTATTAGTCAATGGTTTAATCTTAATAAATTAATGAGCCGATTATCAAAATTAGATTGAATCATATTAAATAGTACTATAGTTAATATTGAGCATCAAACTATATGAAGGATTATTCATAGATCAGAAGGCATGTTAAGGTGGAAGTGCCCCCTCAGCCTATCAACTTCGTTTGGTCTAAATCACTGATCAAAATGCTTAAGCTGAAGTTGATAGTAATACATTCATCAGACCCTTATAAATCAATCTTAATATTACCCACTTTCGATATGGGATTAATCAGGGGTATTACAATAAATAAATAAATATATATATATATATATATATATATATATATATATATATATTTTCAGTTTTCTTTTACTCGATTACATTGAGTTTTGGTATTATTTTTGTACTTATTTATTTTGATAATACATTTTTCTTCGTCTCAAAACGATTATTTCGATTTGGGCGTTCCCGTCTTGGTCACATCCACCGCACGTGAACAACGAGCATAGGCATGCGTGCACACGTGATTTCCTCACCAACCTCACTTATTTTCCCTTAATTACTTACATTCAATGAATCAAATATTCTATAAATTACGTGATTTATAATTAAAATATTAAGAAATCAATTACGATATCCCTTTATTTCTGCTCGCAAAGGATCGATTTATCTTTCATATCTTGAGTAAATTATCAATATCAACGATAATATACGTTGAAATCTAACAACTCGATTGGATGCATAAAACTATTATGAATCAGCCATAAAATCGTGAATGGGAAAGGGAAATGATGTGCTCAAATAATACATGCATTATTAGAATTATTGTTGTATGAAAATTGGAGTAAATTTATTGGAATATCACACGAAAATTTAGAAAAAAGAAAAAGAAATCTCAAATTTATGTCCTCCTTTTATTGGTTGCATCGTGTGATCGACGAGGAAAACGTTTTCGTTTTGATCGTGACATCCACGTGAAAGCCAACCAAATTTTATTGGTTTGGAGGTTCACGTGTAGGAGAGAATCTGGTAAGCGAGATGGAGTAGAGAAGGGCGGGCGAGCTTGAAATCTACCAGTTGTTGATTCTTGGTCTTGGCCTCGGATCGTGAGCTTTCCGTGCACCGTTCGTTGTTAATGGCGGAGGTCCGAGCTCGTGCCCCCGGCAAGATCATCCTCTCCGGTGAGCACGCCGTCGTCCACGGCTCCACCGCCGTCGCCGCCGCCATTGACCTCTACACCCACGTCTCCTTCCGCCTCGATTCCCCCCTTCCCCCTGGTTTGGCATCTCTTCCGCCGTCGATTTTTCGTGCGACTGAAGATCGGAATTTTTTTTTTTTTTTTTGTTGAGGGATTTAGGTTTTCGAATTCGTTAGCCTTGTGCTCGAAGTAGAAATCTTGTGTTGTTCTTTCCAGAGAATGGTGATGGATCCGTAGAATTAGAGCTTAAGGATATGGCCTTGGTGTTTTCTTGGTCGTCCTCGAGATTAAAGGAGGTGTTGGGGGACGGTTTTGCTGATTCTTCAACCCCAGTTTCGTGCTCGCCGGGACGAATCAAGTCGATTGCTGCCCTCGTCGAAGAACAGAACATCCCGGAAGCCAAATTTTGGCTTTCTTCCGGGGTTTCCTGTTTTCTCTATCTCTACACCTCGATCCATGGGTATTAACCCATGCTAACACTCTTTTCTCTTCCCCTCATTTGCTTCATCTCTCTCTCTCTCTCTTTCTCTCTCTTCTTTAATCCATGCATTCTAAGCCTTTTCATTGTTTCTGTTTTCCCAGCTACAAGAGAGGAAAAGTGGTTGTCACGTCGGATCTGCCTCTGGGATCGGGGCTTGGTTCATCTGCTTCATTCTGCGTTTCGGTCGCTGGTGCTCTGCTTGCTTTATCTGATGCCATAAGCGTCGACACCTCGCAGACTGAATGGTTTAAATTTAGCAAGAATGAGCTTGAACTGGTGAATAGATGGGCATTCGAAGGGGAAAAGATTATTCATGGAAAGCCATCAGGCATTGATAACACCGTAAGCACATTTGGTATGTAATCTTCTGCGGTGCTTTAATTAACTTGTTTGAGTCGTGTGATTGTGTTCTTCGTGTTAATCTGCATAATTTTCTATCGTACTGAGGCATAGTCATTCTAGAAGAGATGATCGTCTGTGCTCTTCATTTTATGGGGTAAAAAGTTTGAGTTGTGTGATAAGGTTCTTCCTTCTCAATAGTTTGATAATTGATCATTGCATATGTTATCATTTTTTTCCTGTCATTTTTTGTTTCTATGGAGCCATTTCGTTGTATGGTTTAACTTTGAGTGCACATGCAACAGGTGGCATGATTCAGTTCAGGTCGGGTGAGTTGACTCACATCAAGTCGAGTGCTCCTCTAAGAATGCTCATCACTAATACAAAGGTTGGGAGGAACACAAAAGCACTGGTTGCTGGTGTATCTGAAAGAGCATCCAGGCATCCGGATGCTATGGCTTCTGTGTTTACTGCAGTCGATTTTATTAGCAAGGAATTATCGGCCATTATACAATCACCTGCTCAAGATGACATATCCATCACTGCAAGAGAAGAAAAGATAGAGGAGTTAATGGAAATGAATCAAGGTTTACTCCAGTGCATGGGGGTAAGCCATGCTGCTATAGAGATGGTGCTTCGAACCATGCTGAAGTACAAATTAGCTTCCAAGCTGACCGGGGCTGGTGGTGGAGGGTGTGTTTTGACACTGCTGCCAACATGTATGCTTCTTGTTCTTTGTCATCTTATCAAATCTTTATCTTTTTTGTTGAATCTTTATGGTGAAATTCATTTTAGGTTTATATTTGAGTTTATTTTTGACTTCTGACAGTCTAGACTAAAAAATTTTTAAAATGTAAAAACCTTGAGAAGAGTGAGTTGTGACAGTGCATACAAATTAGGCATTGCCGGCTTTGATAATAGTCTTATTTTCCTGAAAGAAAAATTTTGAACTAGTATGATCTGTTATTCAGTTGTCCTCTTCTGTTTCAGAACTATTATGATCTGTTTATAAGAATTTTACTTTGGTTGCCCTGACTTTGAGAAAAAGTGTCCTGGTACAATTTCAGGATGGCATTTGGCAATGCAATTTGGTTCTGGCTACTAAATTGGCATAATCGAGGAGATGAATTACAAGATTTTCTCAGGATATTGACAATTTGACACCATAGGGATCAATTTTGTTCTAATTCTAACACCTACTGCCCATATAATCAGCAACAATTGACAATGAAATGATCTTGGATCACTGAAAACGATACAGCTGTTCAAAAATAGTAACTAATAGCCTGAGGTGGACAAACTTGGAGAAACACAAATGTGAGGTAGAAGGAAAAATGGATTGGCTAGTAGTAGAACAAGGAAAATTAGCGAAGGCCTTCATGAGTTGGATAAGATTTGTGGGAAAATTTTTTAATGGAGTTAGATGGTTATATGGATAAATTTCTTTGTGGATATGTATGTATACCAAGATATATACAGTGAATATGGGGTTATTGGCTTCTGTCTAAAGAGACTGACATTCGAAATCTGTAATGGGGGCTTTTTGTGATACAGGAAGTTTGGCACACTATTTGCACTAACACATGCATTTCAAGAAGAGAAATGAAAATAGGCTTTAAGGAGACAACCTTCAAATCTAGTGATCTTTGGAGAGCAAAACTTTTTAAAAATACAAGGTCTTTTTCTGTGTTATAAGGGAAGAAGCACGAAAGAGCTTTACAAGGTCTTTTCAAGGAAAGCGGCATGTGATAACCGTAGAAAGACATGCATATATGAGCATCTCTTGTGGATGCTATTAAATGTTTAAATTTTAATGGTGGTTTTGTATTTCACTATTCACCATATTACACTTAAAGGGAGTCTAAATGCATTAGATGTACGCACGCATATATATTGAGTGCTTCTAATTTTTAAACATGTAAGAAAATGTTTGTCTGGGGTTGCTAATATTTTTGGAAAATAATTTTACAGGACTGATAATTTAAGATTGTTATTGCTTTGGTTGTGAAGGATAAAAACCTAAAATGTCACTTAAATTATGCATTACAAACAATTATAAACAAAAGTTCAGCAGAAAAATAATCTGAAAGGAATTGCTAGATGATTTTTTTTTAATGTACAATCCCTATAGTTAGGGTTGTTCTATAGGCTAAGCGTGGGATGGATGGCATCCTGTGGTACATTGCATATCTTGTCACTTGAACACCAATTAAATTTAAGTTGTGCTGTAACCGGACTGTGCATACATGGAATTGAAGTCTTTGGTGTTAAGAGTTTATCTGCTGCAGGATTGATCCTTGTCTGAACTAAACACCCAGTAGCCGAATAGCACATGAATTCTAAAAGTGTTCTGTCCCCCTTTGTGTTCTGCTACATGGCATTGTGATATTTAAGCATGCAGGATCATGAGTGGGGTAAAAAAAAAAAGGAATAACCTTGACTTCCAAGATGCAATTTGACCATCAAGTAGAAGCAGAAATTAAATGAGCATGAGACAACCTAATAGAAACATTCAGAATATGCGACTTGGTTCTTGTACCTTGTAGGACGAAGGATAGGCTCTGTTTTCTCCATATATATTATTTCATTGTTGCATTTTGAGGTTAAGAAATGACATACTTTAAATTGTAACATACAGTTGAAGGATTCTTCTTCTTTTTCATATTGAAATTTGAAATATCAATGATATATCAAACCCCCTATTCCACGGTGACTTTAAATTGTAAATATAACTACTTTTCATACTTTCATTGTATCCCCCATAACTCTTATTTTTTTGCAACTAATGCTTATATCTCTCCATCTTGTCATCCAATGCCTCCCTCGACCATTGAACAGTGCTATCTTGCACGATCATCGATAGGGCTATTGCTGAGCTCGATTCATGCGGCTTCCAGTGCTTGAAGGCTGAAGTTGGTGGGAGAGGTCTTGAGATTTGTTTCAGCTGATTACTTGATTTTCTGGATCCGGAAAGTGCCCTGTTTTGGTTGCGTAACATGAGGAATTTGGGGATGAGGATGCAATTAAAGGACAAGGTTGACTTGTGTTCCTCTGAACTCCAGCAGTCCTTTTGACCTTTATTCATGCTCCTTAGCTGCTGTTCTGTAAACTTCACCTATTTTTGCCTTTGTGAACTTTCTTATCGAATAAATAAGATATTGTCCTTCGCAGATCAGCATTGTTTCTTCCTGCAAAGTATCATCTTGCTGGATACTGAATTGTGCAAAGAAGTATTGTTGAGATCTAGAAATTGCATGCTCATATACCATACGATGACTGGGGTATCATAATCTACCTTCTAACAAGGAACTTGGAACAAACTACAACTACTTTGGCCACGCAGCGTTTTTGACGAGCTGTGATGGCCGGAGGGGTAAACTTGCAATGTAGTCAAGTAGATCATGATGTTTTGGTGCTATTCTACTTCTTATTTCGGCTAAAAACTTGTTTTCTCTGTGAATTCCAGTGCTCATACACGTTATTACTAGTACTTGTTCTGCTAGTGTTGTGATTGAAGAGGCTGCAAGCAGCACACCCAGTGGAAGGAAGCTGTTAAGAAGGTAGATTGAGGTAACTCATGTACCTGAAAATTAGGGGCTAAAAATATTGAAGAGTCCGAAATGGGTTTGAATTTAATTAATATTCTTTTGGATGATTATCAATTTAATAATCTATAAATTAGACTCAATTTTGTATTAATTTCCATAAAAAAAATACATAAAAACCATATAAAGAAACAATGACAAATCAAAGATATGGGATTTGGACTAATTATTTGACTCATCAAATTCTCTAATTTTTTGATTAAAATTCTATTTATCTACAGTATATCGAAATAAAAAATCCATTCGAGTTAGAAATTGATTTGTCATTGTTTTAGCATCTTATCTTTTGTTTGGCAAATTAAACTTTTTTTTTTAGTACTTGGTGGAAATATGACCTCCCTTTTAAAACACCTAAATGTTAAAAATGAATTTTTACTCCTTTTCTTTTTGTTTCAGATTTTGTTCTTAATCCTCCTTTACCAGTTAAGTGTTAATGAAGCGAGCCCCACCACCTGCCACAACCCCCAAGTGTCATTAGGTACTTACTTATAGCCGAGACGTGTTATTTGTCTATATCGATGGATTCTACTACCTATTTAATGTAACACCGTGTGCATAAGCACATCCCGTTATCTACATTACTAGACTGCCCTCAACGCCAAGCCCTTCGCATTGGATTGCCTATCAACAGGGAGGTGGCATTTTGGGTAATTACAGGGACAACAGGGGCCTTTACTGAAGCAGGCAACTTTTGGGCAGTTACCGTTTACGGGGCGTTTAGTTTCCCACCTTTTTCTTTGGCGGGTACATGAAACCCCAACGGACGAAAAAGCCTCCCAAAGAAGCACGAAAGAGCAACGCTTTAGCGCGGCTGCAGAGCCAAAAGAACGGGAAGAAGGCGACAGACTTAACCCTCCCTCCTCGGTTGCCACTCTCACATTTACTCATCGATCGCGCTTCGACGTCCCTCCGCAACATCCATCCACCGTCACTTCCGCATCGCCGTGCCTCCCCTTTGCTCCGGTGGCCGTCTCGCATGGAGCCGTTCGAGCCGGCCTCTGAGCCGGGACAGCCCCGCGGTGACCCCGAGACGGTACTGGAAGGTGCTCCATGTCCATTTCTCTGTGCTTGGGCTCTCGTTCCCGGTTTCTGTTCTCGTGGTCGTTCCGATTGATGTTTTCTTTTTGGTCTTGCGTTGTGGCAGGATCGATGTGGAAGATGGAATTGGGCAGCGAGGAGCCTCCGGCGTATCCTGAGAGGCATGGCCGGCCTGACTGTGCCTACTACATGCGGACCGGGACATGTGGTTTTGGTGATGGCTGCCGCTACAATCACCCCCGTGATCGCCGGATGGTACATAAAGTAGTTGTTTTTCTAGGGCTTTCTCCCAATTTTGTCTAATCGGTGGAATTTTGTTTTGATCTAATTTCCGACATCGGTAACTTCATCAGGTAGCCAGAGCAGCGAGAACTGGATCTGAACAACACCGGGAGCACACTAGCCGACCTGCATGCAGGGTATTTCTATTTAATTGGTTGGGATTGTGCTTTAGGTACCAATAATTCTTAGATTCACTGGAAACATGTCACGTTATTGATGCAATTTTATCGCAAATGAATATCCATAATTCATCCTTCCATTCAGGTGTAAGGCTTTATTGTTTTGCAGTATTTTGTCAGCTACGGGAGTTGCAAATTTGGTGATACATGCAAGTATGAACACCCAAAGCCAGATGGATCTGTGATACTGGCATCTTTAAATAAATATGGCTATCCATTACGTCCGGTCAGGTTTTGTTTCTCTAATTTTGTTTCTGATTGTTTTTTGTATGATGGAAATTCTACAGAATTGCTAATTCTAATGTTGTGGGCTTCAAAGAATTCAGGGTGAGAAAGAATGCTCCTATTATATCAGGACAGGCCACTGCAAGTTTGGATTAACTTGTAAATTCAACCACCCTGAACCCTCGTTGCCCTTGCCAGCATCACCATCTTATTCTATTGTTCAGCCCACTTTATCTCCTTCGCATCAACAGTACCCTGTAATTACCAGTTGGGAAGTTGGTAGATCGTCGATGTTGCCTGCGTCATACATGCAAGGACCTTACGGCCCAATGTTGCTCTTCCCTGGGATCATGCCAGACCCTGGCTGGAGTACCTTTCCGGTTGGTACAACTACAATATCTCCCTTTAATGACTGAAATTCTGCAGAGTCCAAGTCCTGAATTCTTGATTGTAACGTACTTTGCTTGTGAATTAGGTCACTCCAAGTCCTCTAATATCTACCGGTGGAGAACAGAATACTGTCCTAGAAGAATCACAACACGATTCAGCAGCACAGATTTCTCGTTTGCATCCTGCTCATACAGAATCTTATCCAATGGCTGCCTCGGTTAGTCCATCAACCAATAATCAGACTGAAAACGTGCTTCCAGAGAGGCTTGATGAACCTGATTGCCAAGACCATAAGAGAACAAGCTATCGTAAATTAGGATCCAGATGCACATCTCATCATCGTACAGAGAATATCCCACCAGAAACAAGCTGTGTCTTTAGCCTTATTGGCCATCCTCTTCATCCGGTATGAATATCAAAGTGTTTTCTCTGCTTTCCTTTCTGGTTCAGAAGGTAGCTTTAAATTCCATGTATTTTTGCTTCTAAACTCCAGGATAACCTGAGGTGTCATTCTTTGGTGTTTAATAAATTTATAGTCAAGTTAGGTTCATCTTTTTATTTTCGTACGGAGAGATGGATGCTAAAATTCTTTTAGGGTCGATCCTAATATCAAGTTTGGTCTAAGGTGGTCCTAAGTCCTAACTAACATGCATGAAAAGGTTGTAGATTATCATATCTGATTTTGAATCTCTCCACATTATTTATTTGAGCATGTTTTCAGGTAGATTTAATGATTTTATGCTTGTTGTTTCCTACAATTATCTGAAGACTGATTCTTGTATGTCAAACTTTTGTTTTATGAACACCAGTTGATATGCTTAATCATGTTCTGTAGCTAGAACTGCAAGCACTCTCCCTATCTTTTATCCTTTGGTTCACTAAGTTTCTTGCTCCTTTTTCTTGTTGATCAATTGATGCCAGTCCTGAAAATCGGTAGGACATGATTCATAAAGTAATGTAAGAATAATTTAATAGTGCGTTGAAAGCTTTCCAGAGTTGTATTGTAATACAGCCTTAACACCTTGAACATTTGAATTTCCATTCAGAAATTAATTTTGATGTCATCTAAGAACTCAGAAGCTGGTTACAAAAATATCATCTAGTTGTTGTTTGATTTCATGTGATAGTCGTTGGAAGTTTCTTATATTGATGCTTGATGGTTGTGTATGTTTGAGATAGATTCATTGATTTTCTGGTAGTCAAGTCAAAACTATCTGAATTCTTAGATCTCCTAAACAGGAACAAGGTGTAGATTTCCACTTATTTAAATAAAAAAAAAGAACTTGTGAAGAACATTTAGACCACAAAATTCTGATAGCACTGATGTAATTCTAATCTATTTTTCCTCAGTTTTCTTCAGGCTAACAAGCTAGAGTGAGGACATAGGAAGCTAGCAGGTACTCTTCCTCATCAAATCATTTCATATGGAAGTCATTGGTAACTCAAGAGTCATCTGAAGTTCATCGTCTACTTTGCATACTGTTGGTTTGCAGTTCTGACTCAAAAACTAGTGTCTTGGCATATGCACTGTGTATATCAGTTACTCATGTTTCTTGTTTTATCTTATGTATATATACATGATGTAGAAATGAGTTATTACTTATGTGACATTAAATGCTTAATAAGTGCTTAATAGAACAATTGAACATAGTAGTTCTTGACCTCTTGTAATTTCAATTGAACACAAGTACAGGTGAGTCCATTCCAGCCAACAAGATACGCCTTCCATCTCTTGTCCACTTCAATCCCACTCCTTCAAGATTGAGGGAGTACAAATTCACTATCCATGCTTGTCAAACTTCCTCATCTCAGTTTTCTCCTCATATCATAGAAAAACATGCAGTATTTGTTGTGGTTTGCAATGGAGTTATAATGATACAACATATGATAACAGCAGGGCATATCTTAAGTGCCCCCTGAATCATGATGTCCTGACTCGCATACAAAGGATATGCTATATATCTAAAATAGAATATTTTTAAACTTACTACTAATCATGGTCAATAGTAAGGGGTATATAGGAGAAATATTTGCCTCCAATCGAGAGATACGAAATGTGACATCCAAATCAATAGAAAAAAAAAGATAAAACTAATCAAAATCTAAATAATATTTTCCTATTCAATTTACTGTTTAAAAAGACTGAAAAGTAAAAAAATTAAAAGGATATATATATATATATATATATATATATATATACACACACACTAAAATTTAGAGAGGAATTGGAGAGTGCGGCTCAGCCGTGCGGGCCTAGGCAGGGTCCAGGGTTCTTCGTTGAAACCGGGTGGTGGGGTCCACAAGTCGAACGTGGCGGGACCCGTATAAGTCGGAAGGACACCTGTAGTAACAAAGTCAAGTTTGTTGTGTTTTATGTCGTGTTCGCACTGTGCCCATTGGTAAACTCCAGGGAGGTCGGTCGGCGCGCCTCCGCTTCGTTCCACGACAAGGTCGCCTGCGGAGACTCGTG